ACATGTGCGTGACATTTGAAGTGCAAAACTTAAATAACTTCAAAAATTCCATGTATATTGTTATATTGTAGCGGGGGTGTTATCAACATATTTGTGTAATAATGAGTGGGCGTATCAAAGGCGCGCGCCAATGCGCATGCTCAGTAGCAATACACCTCATGGTAAAATGAAAGCAATGGAGGACAGGAGGCTCAGAAAAAGGTACTTTATCAACAGATTTAGGCTTTAGGTTGACATATCTAATCTATTTTCAGGCTATGATATCTGGAAGAGTATAATCTAGGTCAGGAACAGAGATCCCGCGCTTGCTAACGGGCCCGTGTATCGATGATTTTACCTCCCCGGCCATCTTATTTAGCCATTGAGGTTAAGACAACCATTGATTTGAACGCGGAAGGAGAGCAGTGAACTCTACCTGCGTGGATTATTGGTCTGTGCCTCGATCTAAAGTCATCTGGACTCTGGAGCCTCCCTATTTCCCGGCTTTGTACCTGTCGGTCCCCGCTCCGAGCTCCCTGGCCAATGCTCATACTTCATTGAGAGTTGAATTGAATTCCAGCTTATTTAGCTGTCCAATATGTTGCTTTGTATATTTTATTTTATAAAAAAATTTCTGTGAAAACCGCAGGGATACAAATAAAACCACAGGGATACATCACATTTGTAGCATAGGCGACAGAACAAATCAAACAAATTAGGCTACTGCATAAGGAGATTAGCAGGGAGGGATATGCCATACTCATTGGATTATAGAGTGACTAATTCATGTACATAAAAGGAATGAGGTATAATGAAGTACACAAAGATAAAAGACCAAGAGTCATAACAAAGGACATGGATGTACATGTATGCCTTATCAGAGTGATAAGCTCAAGGAAAAAGAGAATTAATTTTGCCCATCTAAAAAAGCACAAACACACACACACACACATATACAGTGTACACAGTGTGTGTATTACTAATGTACATTGACTAATGGTATACATGAACACACATTCTGTGGGCTGTACCTCCCTCACAAAAAATCCCAGCAGGATCTTGCATGAACTTACTACAAGATAAATGACATTGCATGATCTTACATAGTTGCAAGATCATTCAACCTTCTTTTATGTAAGAAAATGAACCTGGTCATGGATGGTCTTGCAATAAACAAGATTGCTTTTCAAGATCTTGCATGTTTGCAATATCTTGCATGAATTCAAGATGGTAGATCATTTAAGATCATGGATAGTTGTCAAATCTTGCAAAAATGCAAGATCTTACAAATAGCAAGGCATCTGGTGATCATACAAGATTGCAAGATCTTGCAATAATCCAAGATCACTTAATATAGCAAGATCATGCATAAATCCAAGTCTCATGGATTATCATGCATGCATATGATCACCAAAAACAACTGATAAAATTATCACATGGTTTTTATATAACAGTAATTAAATGTCATGTGTACATGTCAAAATCCTCTTTTCAATTAATAGGTTCATTGTTCTTGCTCTTAATTAATGATTTTCAAAGTTATTTGGAAGCTTTATTATATACAGACTTGCTCCTGCACGGACAGGGGAAACAAGAATGCAGTTAGTAATGATATTTGTTACAGGTACAGCAATGATTGTTTCATTGTTTCCAATAGGATGTACTTCCACAATAAACTGTGATATGACAGAATAACTGTTGTATTCCTCCAATATTTGTCTACATGGCCTACCAGAACTTGTTAAAATTGTATTTTGTGTAGCATTAAATAATTTGAGAAACACTATGGTACCAACAGAGGGAAATTCTGCAAAACACTGTACCTCTCCATATCCAGTACCAGATGTAACTGCGTGTTTAAAGTATACGTAACAGCTTTTACGTTTTCCTTCACCGTCTTTGTAAAATGCCGTACTAAGAAGAAAATCATTAATAAATAATCGATGAAAAATTAGGACTTCATTACGTAGGCCTGGATATATTTTCACTGCTTCCAAAAAAAGATTATCTGGCAATGAATCTCTTTTAACTTTGCCTATTGAATATCCATGCTTAAGTTTAGTCATTGATGATCGTGGCTTTTTCATATTGAATTCCAGGAAATTTAGACATTCTACAGATTCATTAGTTGAGACTTTATCATATAAATTTTGTAATGTAAGTGCTACATCTACATGAAATGCCAGCTGATCAGCAACTTTTTGATTTGAAGTGATTGCACGTTTTAGATTGCCATTGTGGCTTTCGAAGGAAAAGGCTGAATGAGACCAACATGGCCCCCATAATCGCACGTAATGAGTAATATGTAGTAATGAATGCATGTTCATTGAACAGTGCTTATAACCATAAAGCTCAGGAAAAAGTTTACAAAAGTCGGCGAGCATTTCTTCTGCAGCATTACATTCTGTCTGAGTAATCTCTTTTGAAAGCAAAATATGCATTGCGCATACCAATAGGGCGTAATGATGGAAGTATAGAGATGGTAAGGCGTGCAAAATGAGTGGTAAAGAGTAAAAGAGAAGCCAGTATCTGAATTCATTCGCTTTCCAATATGGCAAATAATTGATGATTGATCTTGGGGATCTTGTGAATTCATGGGGCGGACTTTGTCTACACAATGAACCATCAATGACTTTTAGGTCCTTCCTGATAGAAAATGGCTGGCTGTGGTGACTAGGTGATGTCCATAGTAGCAATAATGACTTTGTCACCCCTTCAAGGACACAGTGCATGTAATCTGGTGGAACACCGTCAACAAGATTTAAGTAGCCATATAATGGTGATTGCCCTTTGATTCCTTGAACAACTGTGTTGTCAGTTGTAGCTTTTTGAATTGCATCCTCTATCCCCTCCTCTGTTCGTAAAGGATATAACTTATCTGTTGCATAGATTCGTCTTCTTTCTCTGTATTCTCCTGGATGAAGACAAATAGGGCAACCATAGTTGCCATTAAACTGATTCATGTTTAGAACCTTAGACTTAGCCACAAGATCAAACACTCCAAACAGTAACTTAGCACGAACTGTTTTAACACCATCTGGGCTAGAGAAACTGAAACCAAGCATATTTAATTCATCTATTTCTTTAAGAATCGGGCCCATTACAATGTCCATTTCTGGTTTTGATTGTCCAACCCATAGTCCACAAATAATGGTGTTATCAATGCGAAACCTTATAGGTGGTGGGAAATTAGCAACTTCTAAATAAATTGGCCAAACAGAAACTTTGGATGATCGGAATATAGAAATTCCATCAGTGTTTAAAATAACACCAACGTTCTCTGGGCAGCAAAAGTATTCCTTGTCATAATTTAAAAAAGTAGCTGCTGATATGTTTGCATCAGCAATATCTCTCTTGATGTAATTTATATCATTCCAGTGTCCTAAATAAAAAAATAGCACATTTAGATCTCAAAGTATTTTTGTCTGTTATGTATAATAAAAGTACTTGATGACTATCATGAGAGCTAGGGGAACATAAACAAGGGCAAATAATTAAACCAGGCAATCTACATGCATGCACTTTAAAAGACGCTTTATTGCTATTATTATTATAGTTCAAGTCTACTTACGTGACAAAATGGCTTTGAATTGCTTTTGTAGGTCAAGTTTAATGAACGTATCATTTTCTAAACAGCTGTTACAATCATCATTGCTGCAAGAATCACTACGGTTACACTCCTTTTTGCACTGTGAGCAGAAGTATTTTTTTACTGTAGTACAATGATGTGATTTAAACATTTTCCGAAGCATATAAACACTCTTAGGTAGCTTGCTGTCAGTAGGACAGAGTAACTTGAGTAAAACGAGAAGTCGATTTATTGTGCTAAATGGTAAACGGCATTCCCTTTTGAAACTCATTATCGCAAGAATAGCACCACATATAGAGATTTGGGAGTCAGGATATAATGGTAAAAGCAGGTCATCATCCATGTGATATGCAGACTGATCTAAATCTTCAACTATGCTTTCTGTATCAATATCTTCTGCCATTGCTGCTTCCATTAGTTCAGTTTCAAAGTTATCACTGTCATAATCATAATTTGTCTCATCTTCAGAGTCTGCAGGAGTGATTGAACTGTTGCATTCAGCATCAAAGTCCACAGTTACAGAAGTAGTAGTAGGTAGATCATCATTCAATAATTGCCTACTGCTGCATTCATCTGGGGGAGTAGTCTCTGCAGTGGGAGGAGGACTATCTTCAAGTTCTGAGATTTCCCTATATCAGATCTAGTCAATTTGGTTTTTGATACAGACTATGGTAATAGCAGGTACCTTTTTCTGTTAATTCTCCATGATGTTGTTCTCGGGATTGATTTTGATGCATCATAAAGGTAAGTTCTGTAAGGACCTCTGCTAGTAGCCATGATTTTAATCGGGACTGAATTGGGGCGTGACTTAGCCTGTCACCTGTCACGTGGCCATAAGAGCGTGAACTTAGGCGGCAAGAGCATTATAGCTGTAGCTGAGCAAACTGAGCCAAATAGTAAGAATCAAATCTAGAAAACCAGCGGGGCCAGCAACACTATGTATGATAGTGAAGATTATTAAACACATTATTTTTTAAAGTTAACTTTTATTATTAAAAGTTTATTTCAAAATTTGTACAGAAAGTCTTTGAATATTGCAATAGTGTCAAAAAATTCCATTGCTTTACAAAATTTCAGCACTTTTAGAAAGAAAACAGCAAATAAGTGTTGTATATTGGCATACCTATTGTGCGATTGTTCAAATTTGTACACCCAAAAGTGTACAAATTTGTACACTCTACATTAGAGTGTACAAATTTGTACACTTCAGAAGTGTGCAGATTTGTACTGTCAAATAATAAGTGTACAAATTTGTACACTTTATTAAATTTTGGGTAACAGAGTGTACAAATTTGTACAAAATTATATTACATAATTTATGGCTATTTTTGAACACATGTAAGATTTGCTCACAAGTATAACAATTCATGAAGTGAAAGTGTCAAATTTTCATTAATTTTTGCCATTTTTTAGACAGCTTTAGATGATAAAAGTTAAGATATAAAAATAATGTGTTATTATGACTCAGATGAAACTGTTGGATTTAGTGAAAGTTTTGATCTGGAACATTCACCAGGAATATTAAATCCACCTTGTCCACAGCAACAGAGCAAGAAAAGACCAACTAGGAATAGGAGACTTCCCCTTCATATAATTGAGGAATCAATTGTTCCACCTGTCAAAAAGGCTATTAAAGGTATGTTGGTAGCTTAAAGTGATTATTATACATGCATCTGCATCTGCTCTAAAATTTTTAAAAGGAAAAGTCAAAGTGAAGTGTTGCCAAAGTGGGAAAGTTTTCATGGCAAGTGCAGACAAATTGACAAAGGAACATGGTGAAGACCTAAGCCTTAGTGATATATATGATGGTAACAGTGTCATATATGACGCTGGTGGAAAAAGTTACGATGTAGTCATAATCCGCAATAATAAAGGTAAAATTTATAGCTAATTAAGTACTATATTAACCATACATATGTGTAATAGCTACAGCAGCAGAAACTCCTACTACAAGTCGACATAACAATAAAAAAATTGTCAAGAAAAGAGTTAACACTGCTTTAATGGCAGCTGAAAAAGTTAGTATATATAATCACTGTATATTAAATATCTAGTTTCACACTTTATGGGCTTTTTAACACATTAAAACTGTTAGTGCGTCATTTTTGCAGTAGTTTTTATGTCTTTGTAGATACAGTTGCTGGCTACCTTAACACATTAAAACAGTCTTGTCATTATTTTTAGCAGGACTTTGATGTCTATAGATTTAATATACAAGCTGAATTTTGTTCAACATTTAGAATTAATTTGCATTTAGAATACCGGTAATATATATTTACTTCAGGAAACAGAATGCAATGAAGATACTCAGTCACTACTAGATGAGGCTTCACAAGTTATTAGGAGTAGTTCAGAAACTCCTAAAGTTCCAAAAATCAGTAGAGTTGAAACTGGATTGAAGGTCAGTAAGATTGATTTATTCTAGTTAAATTTGTCTGATAACGTAGGGTTTGCTTATTCAGATGGATAAAAAATTAGACAAAATTGAAAGGATGCTAATGCATAGCGACAAGTATCAGTCAGATGTAGATTTAGAAACTGAAGATAGATATATTGTTAGTTCAGAAATTAATTCGTCTTTTATTTGTCATTCATAACTATAGGTTAATGGAATTGACTTAAGAGCATTGCCTGCAAATGATGCATATGGCTATGGACGATCTTTACTGGATGCTTTGTTTACTAAGAAAGAACAGAAAAGTGGTGTACTACTACCAACAAGCAAAAGTCCAAAACCAGCATTAGACAATGATCGAGTACAATTGTTATTTGGTAAGTTTCTATATTGACAAAAATATTACTTTTTAATTTATAAAATTTAGGATGTCTCAACAAACGATATAAAGATCAGTATACTCTTTCAAAGATGAAAAGTACACTTAACCAGAAATGCAGAGATGCAAAGGAAGTGATATTAATTAAAGATGACTAAACGCCAGTATCATGTCAAACTTTTATAGGTTGTTTTACGAACGTGATTAACAATAGATGATTTGTTTTGAATTTTAATTATGAAATAATATTAACAAGAGATTGAAACAAGATCTTGACCAGATCCTGCATAATCTTGTGTCAAGATATTCCAAGATAGTGCATTCAATCATGCATGAAAGCGCATGATTTTGGTTGAAGATATTATACAAGATATAACAAGTTCACACAAGATCATGAAATATCTTTGTTCCAAAATCATGTAAGATTTTACATTATCTTAGATAGATCTTGACAAGATTCTTGCCAAAAATCATGCATGATCCAGGCATGATTTTTTGTGAGGGCTCCCATGATAGATCTATTGCATCCATTCCAGAAGATGTTTTCCTTGAAGCTAAAACTCCTCTTGGTCTGCCTTGAGGTGCTACAGATAAAAGGATAACCAATAAAAAATAAATTAGGCTAGCATGTGATTGTGGGGATAATATGCCCACGGGCAATTTAATAATAACAAGAACAATAGAAAGAGAGAGCGTGTGTGTGAATTGTCTCACAGAAGAATTCCTACTACTACTCTCTCTCTCTCTCTCTCTCTGTCACTTTCTCTCTCTCTCTGTCACTTTCTCTCTCTCTGTCACTTTCTCTCTCTCTCTCTCTGAAGTGCGACTCATAGTAAATTCTCTAGTTGTTATAACACAAACAGTAAACACTCAACACGGAGAGTTCAGACCAAAGGGAATGGCTCAATACACATTGTAAGGTATGTAGGAGTGGGAGAGAGTGATCACTCCTCATCCTTATAAGAATGTGCTTCTCTTTGTCTAGCTACGAGTGAGTGACTGTAGCTGTGTCATTAGATGTTGTTTATGACTGTGTATTGAATTAAAATAACAGTGTACAGACGTTTGAGGAAATTCTACCAATTTCATTTCTACTGCTAAATATATTAGGAGCAATAGCTTTGCCTTTTATAATAAGTACTATCATAAGTTTGTACTCACGAGAGAAAGTATGAAATGATTGTATATCACTAGTGGCACCAGTTCCAACCGAATTGGTAGCTGTAACACGGAATTCATACAAATTACCAGGACTCAAACCTACATCAGAATAATAATACATAAGCACAGGATCGTTCACTCTTATGCTACTGACCATCTATAACACAATATCTCTCTAGAAATGACTGACAGTTGGAGCTGCTGTACTGTTCCCATTCATTTTGACCCAATAGCCTGTATTCAAACTGGAGTAGGAAAGGAGAGGGAAACAAAGAGAGCATGTTATGTATGCAATTTTACTAAATAAACTACTAAAGAAACACATGAACACTCAATTAATTATGTACCTCATAACCAGTCACTAGTATTCCATTTGGCTCCAGGGACCAGAAAAGATAAGCACTTGTGCTTGTGGATTGGGTCTCATTGACTTGAAGATTAGTGACATTAGGAGCTAAAAAGATATAAAAAGGAAGAAAGGGTCGATTACACACAGCATGTGAAGAACTAGAACTTTAATAAATATGCATGTGTACAAGTATATACTTACTAGTCAAGCACGTCCCAGTATTATTCATTCCATTCGAATAAGAAGTGGACACTTTACATCTGTAGTTCTTGGGGCAATTGTCAGTGCCAGCAAATGTAGCAGTTCCTTCATAGTCAAAATTAGAAGAAAGTTGATTACTTGTAGTAGAAGTAGCGCCAGCGTTTACATGTAGATTACGAAGAGTACCATCAGATCTTATTTCAAATAGCTCTATAGTTTCTATTTGAGGATAGGCTATAGCTCTACAACAAATTTTATAGTCTGTGATTCCAGTTTGAGTAATTTCCAACGTTATAATAGGATCAACTGTAGAATGTGCGTGTGTGTGTGTGAATGAGATAAATGTATAATGATAGCATAGTGGACATCCCAGGAAAAAAATCTTACGTAAGATCTTATTTAAGATCTTATGAAACCTTAAAATGATCATGCATGATTAATCATGCCTGTTCTTGCCAGATTATTAGACAAGAAGTTCCAAATTCTTGCCAAGATCTTATGATAAATCTTGTCAAGATCTTATGATAAATCTTACATGATCAGACATGATCAGACAATTAATCTTATGCTATCAATCAAGATCAGGAACTAAATCTTACATTATCAGTCAAGATCAGGAACTAAATCTTGTATGATCTTTCAAGATCAGGCAATAAATCTTATATTATCAGTCAAGATCAGGTATAAATCTTGTATGATCTTTCAAGATCAGGCAATAAATCTTACATTATCTTGACTTATCAGTCAAGATTAAGAACTCAATCTTGCATAGTCTTTCAAGATCAGGAATTAAATCTTACATTATCAGTCAAGATCAGGTATAAATCTTGTATGATCTTTCAAGATCAGGCAATAAATCTTATATTATCAGTCAAGATCAGGTATAAATCTTGTATGATCTTTCAAGATCAGGCAATAAATCTTACATTATCTTGACTTATCAGTCAAGATTAAGAACTCAATCTTGCATAGTCTTTCAAGATCAGGAATTAAATCTTACATTATCAGTCAAGATCAGGTATAAATCTTGTATGATCTTTCAAGATCAGGCAATAAATCTTACATTATCTTGACTTATCAGTCAAGATTAAGAACTAAATCTTGCATAGTCTTTCAAGATCAGGAACTAAATCTTATATTATCAGTTAAGATCAAGTATAAATCTTGTATGATCTTTCAAGATCTTAAAGAGTTTAGTTATGATTTCTTAAATGGGATTTTGTCACATCCCTTATAATTAAAATGACTGATCTGATCAAGATCTTACAATGCATTAATGCATACTATAATGTTGTGTGATAATATGGTGACTTAATTAACTTTAATGTTGTTAGAAGTTGGCTTTCTTTATATGCTCATACTTTTGTAAAGGCTATCGTGGGTTGTCAACTACTTCCTGTGACGTCATGCGACTTGTAAGATCTTTCAAGATCTTGAATGACTTATTATGATGTGATATGGTAAGATAATTCATGTAAGATCTTAAATAAGATCGGGCCTGTAAATCTTATCAGTGATATTGTAAGATAATTCATGTAAGATCTTAAATAAGATCCGACCTGTAAATCTTATCAGTAAAATTGTAAGATAATTTATGTAAGATCTTAAGTAAGATTCAGCCTAAAAATCTTATCAGTGATATTGTAAGATAATTCATGTAAGATCTTAAGTAAGATCTGGCGTATAAATCTTATCAGTGATATTGTAAGATAATTCATGTAAGATCTTAAGTAAGATCCAGCCTGTAAATCTTATCAGTGATATTGTAAGATAATTCATGTAAGATCTTAAGTAAGATCCGGCCTATAAATCTTATCAGTGATATTGTAAGATAATTCATGTAAGATCTTAAGTAAGATTTGGCCTATAAATCTTATCAGTGATATTGTAAGATAATTCATGTAAGATCTTAAGTAAGATCCGGCCTATAAATCTTATCAGTGATATTGTAAGATAATTCATGTAAGATCTTAAGTAAGATCCAACCTGTAAATCTTATCAGTGATATTGTAAGATAATTCTTGTAAGATCTTAAGTAAGACTATGCCTGTATATGATAGCTAAGATCGATCAGACTAAATCCAAATAAGATCTTATAAGGTTGTTCTTAACTCTTATCTCACCTTATCTCATCTGATCAGATTATTCAAGATCTTAGTAAGATTTTTTTCCTGGGATCTGTGACAACATAATAGCTGCATGTACATGTATGCATGATATTATATAGACTGTAGAAAAATGGTAATAATTTGTTCATGAGTACTCATTAGTGGTAAATACTGTTAGGAGGAGAGTATAGCAATTAAGGGAAGACATTCAAGTTATATAAATGATTACATCCAATTGCTACATCACAAACACACACACACACACATATACTTGATCTTAATTAATTACTATGGGTAATTACATGTCTTTCATGTCAGTGCATTACGTAAAGTGACAATAACTTACATCTAACTGTTATAGTGTAAGAGAGATTAGCTGAGCCAGCAAGGTTAGATATATTAGCAGTATACATGCCGCGATCTGATGCCACAGGAGGAGAATCAAATGTGAATGACTGAAATATTCTGATCATTCAGATACCAATGGACTTCGGCTAAAGGAGAAAGAAGAGGATAAGTAAATATATACAAGTGTACGTGTAGGAAAAAGAGGAAATAAAATAAAAAGTATATAATGTGTAGCTTACCAGGAGGTATCCCAGGGCTCACTATGGGCTGGAGTGTCAATTCACCAGAATCTTTATCAATTGTATAATTTAGTTGTGTCTCACTTAAAGACGGTGCAACTATCAAAGGTATAAACAAAAATAATGACAAATATTTGTTAATTTGTTAAATAAAAATAATGACAAATATATGTTAATTTGCTAAATAAATAAATAAATAAACAAACAAATAATAATTGGTGAGGTGTGATGTTTCTGAGAACGGTCACTGTTTTGTTGTTAGGGTCACCATGGATGCAAATCTCAAAAGGTAAAGGTAGTCAAAATAACACCTCCTTAGTCTCTCACCATCTGAATTGTCAATGGTAGAACATGCTATATTTTAAAATTATTCATAATTTTTAAAGACAACAGAAAATATTGTACAAATACTTGACACTGTAGAGGAATGGTCAATAAATGTTGTTGAGACAGAGTCTAATAAGTAAGATTATTGTATTAATATATCAGATAGCTAGTGCTTTGCTTTTTTGCTACTTTTTAAAAAATGGTCACGGCTCAAAAATTTTAATTGGAATCAGCTCAAACTTTTTTATACACCATAAGGACATCAATGTGTATAAGAAAATGTAATAAAAATTTTTGGGTGATTTAGGGCCATATTTTTTGGAAAAAACATGGGCTAAAAGCCTTTGCTTCTTTTTAAAAATTGGCTCATTTTTAAGTGCTCATAACTCATGATCATAAGCAATGAAGGTAGATATAAAGGAGAGAAAATCTTTACCTTCTGTAGCTTCTGTAGCA